TCCTCTCCTCTCCTCTCCCTCCCTTCTAGCACTGATGATGTTCCCTAGTTGGGTCATGAAACATCTGCAAGGAAACCACCCAGTTCAGAGGGCACCAGGGACCCCCTCTTTCAACCCCGAGCTACAAATATTCTCCTTTCTTCATCGCATCTTATGCTCAGATCAGTGGGCTTCGGTTGCCCCAAGCTGGCCTCTTCGTTTTATGGCTGACAAGGAACCCCGGGTTCAAATCTTCCCAACTCCGTGCCTCTCTCTCTCTCTCTCTCTGCAAGAAGCTGCCGTTGAGCTGAGCCTGTTTCTGTCTCGAACCCAAACTCACCAGGAGGGAGACCACCGTGCTGGAGTAGAAGGCCAGATCTTCGATGATCTCGGTGCGCCGGTTGGCCCCGATCCGCAAGGACCGGCTGTGAACTTCTTCCGGGAGCACCGTTAGGATCTCCAGCAGGAAGGGCAGGGAGGACACGTCGTTATTGTACCTGGGGGGCCCCGGAAGAGGTGAGAAGAGACGGGATTAGAATTGAGACCTTAGACAGACTTCGTGGTCGCGTGGAAGGCACCCTAATCGGCATCCATTCAAATGAAATTTGATCGCCTGCAGCTCTCAAAGGGTCACCACCTCCAGTGTACCCTACATCAGCATGACAAAATAAGTAAATGAATAAGGAAAAAATAAGATAGGATTAGGGTAGGATGAGGATGAGAATAGAATAAGGAATAGAATAGAATAGAGTATAGAGTAGATTAAAATAAATAGAATAGAATGGAATACAATAAGGAACAGAATACAATAAGGAAGAGAAGAGAAGAGAAGAGAATAAGGAAAGAATAAGGATAGAATAGAGAATAGAATAGAATAGAACAGAATAGAATAGAATAAGGAAAGAAGAGAATACAATAAAGAAGAGAAGAGAAGAGAATAAGGAAAGAATAAGGAGAGAATAGAATAGAATAGAATAGAATAGAATAGAATAGAATAGAATAGAATAGAATAGAATAAATAGAATAGGAGGAAAGAATAGAATAGAATAGAATAGAATAGAGAATAGAATAAGGAGAGAAGAGAAGAGAATAAGGAAAGAATAAGGATAGAATAGAGAATAGAATAGAATAAGGAAAGAATAAGGATAGAATAGAATAGAATAGAATAGAATAGAGGATAGGATAGGATAGGATAGGATAGAATAGAATAGAATAAGGGGAATAGAATAGAATAGAATAGAATAAGGAAAGAATAGAATAGAGAATAGAATAGAATAGAATAGAATAGAATAGAATAGAATAGAATAGAATAGAATAGCTTATCACTTTGAATGTACACTACACTAATTGGCATGCATTAAAATGAAATTCCGTTGCCTTCCCCTCCCAAAGGGTCACCCACCTCCAATACACACTACTTAAGCATGACAAAATAAATGAACGGTTGTATGTCAAGAACTGCCTCTGTTAACCATGGCAACCAACGCCTGTAACGGGCAGGCTCCATTACAGCCGTATGTTGAGGACTACCTGGGCAGTTAAAAACGAACCAGATCAGAGCTAAGCCGGGGAAGGCCGCCATTCTTCTAAACTTCAACCTTTGGTCCAGGCAGGTGTTGTTGGAAACCATCCCGCCAGAAGCCACCTGCTCTGTCCTTGGGATTCTCTCTCCTGCGAGACGCAGACACCACCTGGGCTTTGGTGGGCTGCTCTCAGGCCAGCTCTGAAAAGGGGCGGGGGGGGGGGCAGGGGGGGCACTTACTTTTCAACCAAGGTGTGCACGCAGCCTTTCCACGAAGCCATCTGCAAGGCCAGGTCGGCTATGGCTAACGCCAGCTGCGTAGGGAGAGAGAAAGCGGAGAAGGCAGGAGATCACAGGGGGATCGCGGAGAGCAACCGCCCTTCAGGCTTACGCACCGCTTTACGGTTTCTTTCCCGCCAACCATCTGGGTCCTCGTTTGACCCACCTCGGAAGGACGGAAGGCTGAGTCCACCTGGAGCCGGTCAGGATCGAACTGCCGGCAGTGGGCAGAGTCAGCCTGCAATGCTGCATTCTAACCACTGCCCCACCACGGCTCGCTCCTCCTTCCTTCCTTCCTTCGACTTATATACCACTTCACAGTGCTTCACACCCCTCTCTAAGCAGTTTACAAAGTCAGCCTATCACCCCTCAACCGTCTGAGTCATTTTATCGACCTTGGAAGGACGGCAGGCTGAGTCAATCTTGAATCGAACTGCTGGCAGTGGGCAGAGTCAGCCTGCAATCGAAGCAATGCTG